CTTAGTGCACCAAGATAGATAGCTACCCTTAAAATAAAAAGGGTTTATTGATCCATTAACTTATTATTCAATTTGAACTTTTATCATTTTCATACTTGCCACGGTGAAAAAAAATTCTCCATTGTATTTTTGGGATAAATTTATCCATCTATTTTTATATAACAATTAAAGTCTTTCATTTTTCCTTGAAATGCAAAAATAAAGTAAAACAAAATAAAATTCTAAAGTTTTAAAGATAGAACATGTAAGTTTTATTTTTTTTCATCTTAGTTAAAGGGCATTCGGTCAAAAAAAAATAAAATTGTCTATTATCAGAAAATTTAATTTGAATGACAGATTGAATATTTTAAATTTTTTAAAAATAGATAAAATGTAATTAAAAATCTAAAATAAATAAAAAAATTAAATTTTATATAAAGACATATTGGTATATTTATTCATATTCTTTGTTTAAGAACATTCCTTTACATGGACGGAGTTGCTTGTATTACTAACCCAACAGATCCATAGTATACTAAGCCCAGAGCCCCACTAGCCAGAATCCAAAGTATTTTGCAGCCTAATAAGCCTTCTAATATCAATGCTATCCTTGCCGTAAAGCCCAAAGTATTTTGCAAAGCAGAAACTTTATATATATATATATATATATATATATATATATATATATCTTTTCTTTTCTCGAAAACTATTGGTAAATTAGTAATTACGGTTTAACAAAACGTGTGATTTTAGAACATACTAACCTATTACCTGTGTTACACTCGCGGGTCGAATAGAACAAAAGCATTTCAAAATTTTATAATTTTTTAATTATAATTTTTTTATGTTTTTCATAAATTTTTACTTTAAAAAATATGATTTTTTTTTGTATATAAATTCTGAAATAAAAACTTATAATAATTAAAATTGAAATATTAATCAACAATTAAAAAAATATTTTTTATAAGAATGTATGCAAAAAATATTGTTACGCTTAATTATAAATTAACTAATAAAAATATTTTTTTACTCTTATTTAATGCTGATAAAAAGATTATTTTTTGTAAATGTGTATATATATATATATATATATATATATATATATATATATATACACACACAACAAATGTTAGAATAAAAAATTATATTTCAATAATTAGATGGTTCTTTAAAAAATTATTTTAATTATTTTATTTCAAATAAATTGATTCCATGATATTTAAAAAGTATATTTATAGCAAATATTTTGTATTGTGTGTGAAGATGTAAAATTGATTTTTAATAAAACTGATTATTCAATAAATTTTTTTATATTTCTTAACCATACTTAGTAGACTAAGACAAATTATATAAAATGCACTCTTAACTTTTTAGATTAAAATAATTATATGTTTATGTAAAAGAAACTATCATTTAAAATTATAAGAATACATGATATATGTTATATTAATTTATTTATAAAAAAAAAACAAAGAAAAAAATTTTGTTTTAAAAAGTTATTCTAAAATCCAAATACAAAAAAAAATTATATTTATCATTAAATAAAATTTGATTAAAAATATTAATTAAACGAGGATTTTCATTAAAAAAATGATAAATTCAAAAAATAAATTTTACATAATAAAAATAATATAATCTAAAATATATTAAAATATAAAAGAGATATTGAATATATTTTATCATTACCATGCTTTGTGAAAAAAAAATTATTGTTTGATATTCCATAAGTTTTGCCCAAAGATTCTTTAAAAAAATATTAAAGAAAAGAAAAAAAAAAAGCAAGGAGAAAGCCTGCAATCGAGCCTGTAGCACTAGACCTTCCCATCGCTATTCGTAGAGGACCAGGGTCGCGCATGCTTGGTGAAAAAAAAAAAAAAAAAGCCTGCTTATCATTTTCGACGATCGATTTAGTTGGAAAATTCATCGAAAGTCAATTTTATTATTTCAGACGTCCCAAAACCAATTTCAGTCCCATTTTTATTCAAAATCACATAAATAACATCCAAACACTCATTTAGAAGCTCAAAATCTATTTCAATTCACATAAAACATACAAAAATTCAAATCAAACTAAAAAAACTCCAAATATTTCAAACTTTTGATTCTTCAATCATTTTATAATTTGCCACCCCACGAACGAATCTTATTCCTTGAGACGAACAAGTGATGGTAAGATCAACTATCAGAATGGCAGAAATAGGCATCATCAATGGTCTCTCTTTGTCTCTCTCTCTCTCTCTCTCTCTTCTCTTCTATCTCCCTCATTTCTGTCTCGTCTTAAGATGGGCGAACAAATAGTAGTAAGATCGGCTATGGGAATGACTAGGATAGGCATCATCAATGATCTCTCTCTCTCTCTCATTTCTGTTTCCTCTTAAGATGCAGGGACCAAATGAACCAAAAATAAAATATTAAGTTGAAAATATGTTGTTCAACAATGAAGGACCAAAATACACATTTTTGGTAAACAGTGATTTTAGACCCAAAACATAATGAATCCACAATAAAAGCAGAGGGAGTGAACAATAGATACCACAGTAAATCCATATTTTGTTTTAACGTATCGGTTGATATATTTAGTCTCTCTTATATCAATTTCATGTTTCTTTTCAATTTATTTATTTTTCTTTCTTGAAAAATAGAGTAAAGAAGAGATTTTAGGGAAAATGGGAAAATTTGAGAATAAAAGAATATACTTTTTGAACAAAAACTACTAAATTAAGGATAGTCACCATTAATCAAGGGGTTATTTAGTTATTTTTTATACTACATATAGTAGTTAGTTAGTTTTGATAAACACCGAGGGCTAAGTTATAATTAACTAGGTACATATCAAGCGGTTATGAATTTACAATTTACTAGGTACAAATTCAAAGCTATTTTTTGAAGTTGTCGTTTTAAAGCAAAAAGGCCAAAAGATATACAATGAAGTGTTGATTATTGTTATTGTTATTATTATTTGGTTTTCTTTATATATTTCCACGAGTAAATTATAAATCATTACATTTCATTTTGAGAAACAGATTAAATTAATCCGTCTTGTTTCAAATATTAATTCTTTTAATTCTTTTAACTAGTGTTGATCACGAGTAATTTAATATTTTTTTATTTTATAAAATGTCTTTTTTTTCTCTTCAATATTTTCATATATTTATTTATTTATTATTTCTTAAAATAAAAAATCAAAATAATTTAAAATTATAAAAAAAGACTAAATAATTAGTTTTTGACATCAAAGGGACTAATTAATTCTTTTCTCAAAGCGAGGGAGACTAATTTATAATTTATTCATATTTTCATCCCATATTAGAGATAATACTAACCTCTTCGGAGCTAGAACGACAAGATTTAATTTTTTTCAATAAGCATGACTTCATCCCACATTAAAGATAAAACTAATTTTGTTTGGAGAAAAAACAACAAAATTTAACTCTTTTTAATAAATATAACTTCAGAATTCGAATATTGTATATCCATAAAAAATTCGAAGACTAATTTATAATTCATTCATATTTTCATCTCAAATTAGAGATAATACTAATCTATTCAAAACGAGAATGACAAGATTTGCTTTTTTTCAATAAGTACGACTTCATCCCACATTAAAGATAAAACTAATTTTGTTTGGAGTAAAAACAACAAAATTTAACTATTTTCAATAAATATAACTTCAGAATTCAAATTTTATATATTGATAAAAAATTCGTTTGAGAACCAATTGCCTTACTATTAGGTAAACAATTTGTTGATAATAAAGTGTTGATTTTTTTAGTATGATTTAATATATGTTATCAAAAACTTTTTTCAACCTTAACATCAACGATCAACAATTTTGGTCATGCTAAAAACACTGTTTTGACTTTCCCCGTTAAATTTTTTAGGTTTCAATCTTGGAAAAGATTACAAATATATTCATTTGAATATTGACGAAGGATGATTTATTTAAGGCATGTTTGGTACATGGCTAATGAGTTATGTTGTGTTGTGAGTTGTCAGCAGAATCAGCAAAAACATTGTTTTTCAAAAAGAAAAAAAAATTCTTAATTCTTAATAAAATATTTTTTTTAAAAAAGACAATCAATTTGGTGATGACTTTTTTTTTTTTAAGCAGGGGTAGTCACTCTGTTTTTTGTCTAAAGAAAAAAATTCTCTAAAATGTTATAGGTTTTATTTTGAAGCAAATATTAAATACAACTAAAAACAATTGTGTTTTAAAACATAATAATACCAAACAACCACCTAAACACAATTTAGAAAAAAAAATTGTGTTTTTTAATTGAAAAATAATATATAATATATCTCGAATTGATGAATAATATAATTTCGTTGATACTAAAAAAACTATAAATACAGTTAATAAAATATCTTTGAAACTCATAAATATGGAAAATGAACTAGCAAAAGACTACTGTTTTTGTCTTGAAAAATAGAAGATATTTTTTTTAATTCTATAAAAATATTTTTATGAATTGGTGAGAAAATATCATAGTGAACTACAGCGAAAGATTGATGTTGGCATGAGTAATGGTAAAGTTGATATGAAATTCTTTCGTTAACCCCAACAGAAAAAATAAAATAAAAATTAAATGAAAAAGGTAGAATTGTTCGTGGTGGCCTCAATACTGACGACTCTGTGTCTTTCCTTTTCTTTCTCCAGAGAGAGAAAATAAAAGAGAGACGACAAACAAAAGAAGAATCGAAGCAAGCCGGTGTGTATTTCACACATTACATTACACTCTGCTCATTCTAGCCACGTTAACCTCTCCCTCAATTGTCGTGCGCCTGCCGCCGTCGTCGTTTATCACTCAGCAAAAAGAATCCGATTCATGAAATAAAATTGGACCATCACCATCTGGTGATCTCTCCGGTTTGTGTTTGTCCAGTTTCTCCGATCTCAACCGGAGAGAACAACATATTTAAAGAACACTGAAATTTTAAGTTTTTGTAGCGTTATTTGTTGATAGATACAGGGAGATCATAGTCAATTTCTGTTAATTCTTAGTTTTTAGAGAGAGAGAAAGATGCAGAGGCTGCGGAGTCCACCGAAACACAGGCACGACGGGACTTCGCCGTTACCGTTGGGGATGGATTGGAGTCCTCCGCCTCGAAAATGGGTAAAATCGTTAATCTAATTCAGTTACTTCAATTTCAGTATGTTGAACTAGAAAAATTGGTTTTCATTTTAGTTTATTTTTCTTTTATTTGACTTCTGTGGATTTTGTTTTTTAATGAAGTATTAGTTCAGTGTGGACTGATCAAGTAGTTGCTGAATTGCGATTAGATTGATGGATCTTGTTAACGCTGAGTTTGATTAATTGAGGTGCAATTAAGAATTAATTTAGCTGCGTTTTACGCATGGGAAATGATAATTCTTGGTAATACATCATATGGAAGTTAATTTATGTGAACCGGACTGGCATTCTATGTGACATCATGCCGAATCATCTTATTAATTGTAACGCGATCAAAAGAACTCTGTGCATTTATTATCGCAATCGGAAGAACTCTGAATTTAATTTGGCATGCCTGTCCAAATGTGGGTCGATGCGTGTTTAGTATCGCAATTGGAAGAACTCCTTAGATTTAGTATTGCGATTATAAGAATTCCCTGAACTCTGTAGATTTAGTATGGCGATCAGAAGAATTCCCTAGATTTAGTATCGTATTTGAAAGAACTCCATGCATCTATCAAGTAAGAGCTGATTGCACACATATGGATGGGATTTCTGGCTATTCACTCATTTATTTCGCTTTGCCTTTCGTGAGTTTTGCTTCAGCTGGTAGTACCGCACAGCATGTGTCAACAAGTCTAGAGGTTGTAAATGGAAATGTGTTTTTATAACCTTGAGTGATGCTTAAAGACTTGATAAGAAATATGTAAATCTTTAAAATGATGGTGGAAAATAGTTGAATTTATTGAGTAATGCTGTAAACAAGATAGGTAAGGGTAACTATTATGTGCATCTCTTATGTAGTTTTTGGTTTTTCATTTTCTTGCCTATGATGTATTCATTTCATTTTTTCTCAACAATATGCAGTTTAGTAGTTCTAATTATATTTCTGCTAGCATGAAGAATTTTCAACGCCTGAAAGGATAAAGAAATGTTCTTTTGCAGAGTGGGCGAGAAACCGTTTGGCCTCATGATCCTAGAACGGGATGGAGTTACTGTGTCACTATACCATCCTGGGTCGTCCTCCCAAAAACAAGAGATTCAGATCCCGTAGTGGTACTCAAATTGAATGACTATCCAGTGTTTATCTATACCAAGGGTTAGATGTTATTATGCTATCTCCATGAATTTGTTGTAAAATACTTTAGGTTGGTTATAGATTTTTAGGAAGTTTCTAACTATATGGACATCCAACACCATGGTTTACCTTCCTTTAGGGAAAAACTAGTTGAAGTTTCCAAAGCATACTATTGTAATGATGAAGTTAATAGCATTCCTTGTTTTTCTATTTGCATATTTCATCCCATCGGTGCAAGAATTTTTTTTTCTCTCTTGTTATATCAGTATGTTATAGTTTTCTGGTCAAAATTATCCTCATTAACTTAATTTATCCAATTTTCTTTTTTCTGGCAGTGCATATTATGTAACTATTCTTTTTGTTGAGTTGATTTGTGAAATATAATTGTACTCTTTCCTGAATTTATCATTGAGTTTATCTGGGTTTGGATATATTTATCTGTATGCTGTGCCCACACTTATTGTATATGGTAATGACCATTTACCAGCTTCGAAGATCTTATGTTAACATTCTTAAGGGGCAGTTTTACAGGGTTCAGGTGGGTGTACAATCACCAGAAGGGGTTACAACCATGCGTGGAGTGTTGAGAAGATTTAATGATTTTATGAAGTTATTTAATGACGTAAGTACAAACTGCAATTTGTTAAATTAATAATTTAACTTTGTTAATTCAGGGTACTTGAATTATTTAATGCCATCAGGCATTCTTCATGGGAACTAAGTCTTGCCTCTCTCCTCGAGTACCTGTAACTGTATAAAACTGCAAACAATGCTCTTATATTTGCTATTTGCCATCTTTTGCAGCTTAAGAAGGCATTTCCCAGGAAAAATCTCCCACCAGCCCCACCCAAGGGACTTCTGCGTTTAAAAAGCAGGGCACTCTTGGAAGAGGTACAGAATGCGTTTTGGTCTTTGTTACTGCATTTGTTTTCTTTTCTCTAGTCCTGCAGATAGCATTTTCTTTATATCTGTTTTCCTGTTATATCAGAAACACAAGAAGGTTATGTTTTGACTGTCAAAATTCTTTGCTGTTATTACTCTTGATTTTTGCTTATGGCTATTGCCACTTCATTCTACAGGGGCAAATTACTGTAACTTTTCTTCAGAAATCTAAGCTGATAAAATCTTTGCAAATTGTTTTGGAAGAATTTGGTGAATTAAGTTGCTGCTTATGACGTTTTGGAATAAAAAACTATATGATTTTATATGTTTTCTGTTCTAGCAAACTAAACATTTGTCAAGCTTTTGGTATAGTTGCAATACAGCAAAAACTTTAGGAAAAAAGAGAATTTTGTACAGATTTGGCTAGATAGTTTATTTAATTTATTTGGAAGTTAATGAGAAAACTTTATTTTGTTTACATATAAGTGACTAATATTCTTAAAAGACTTGGTTTTATTGCAGAGAAGGTATTCTTTGGAGCAGTGGATGACAAAACTGCTGTCTGACATTGATTTGTCAAGAAGTGTTGCAGTGGCATCCTTTCTTGAATTAGAAGCTGCTGCGAGGTCTTGTATGTGTCGTTGTTGTACTTGTGCATGAAATTTACCTTAAAACATTTTATAACATCTTTTGTATGTTGAAGTGAAAGTGTATAATCCACATGAATCTCAACTTGTTTGAGGTTTTCTTCCGTTTAAGAGTTCGATCTTGCTTAACATTTCCTGAATTTTTTTCAGCATTCCAAGATGTAAATCATCAGTCAACAGAAGCAAGTCCTACCAGTGATAGTTCATCTTCCTTACTTCAGATGCCTCCAAATTTAAGTTCTTCTCTTGCTGCCAGTTCATCAGTTGCATCAGATTATGGTAGTGATACTGCTTATGAGACATCTGATCTTGGAACACCAAGGTTGGGAAGAGATGAAAATTTGGGAATTGGCTTGGGGGATCTAGCACTGGATGAAGATTTGACCAGTCCTATAGAAAAACTTGTGAAGTATGGCATGTCAAACATTGACGAGGGTCTGTTTATGGGACAGACTATTCTAGAGCAACTAGAAGGTATTCCTAGGCATAAACCCCATGGTGGACATATGAACAATGTTACAGGGAAAGATAGATATAATGGAAATGCATCTAAAGCTCCATTTCTTGCTGGAAATGGGATGGAACTTTTCTCTGAGCCGGAGCCTGCTAAGGTATTTGGTCATGTTAGAAAGTTATCTAGTGAAAGTATTGGAAGTGATGGAAGTTCTCTACGAGGTAGTGAAATATCAAATGCTGGGGTATTAAATTCGTCTGGTGATGGATCTCTTGACCTTCCAGGAGTAGCTGAGGTTTCAAGTTCCACAGAAATTCTTGGTAATACAGAGCTGCAGTTTTCAGGTGATGCACACATAGTGCTTCCTTTGGATCAGCGTCATAAAGTGAACAGGGTTCTAGTAACAATGCAGCGGAGGCTAGTCACATCTAAAACAGACATGGAAGACCTCATATCAAGATTAAATCAGGAAATAGCTGTAAAAGATTACCTTACAACAAAGGTATGCCAATGTTAATGGAATAAACTTTCCAGATGCCATATTTTGTGACATGTTTGTTAATTGTGAGCTGAATGGATGCAATTTGTACTTCTTGATTAATTATGCACAACAGTGTTAGAGTTTTTACTTCCATGCAAGAGTATAATAGCTATTAAACTCTTAAAGACCCAACTTTTGGCATGTCCTTTGATGTCTCACTCCTGCGCCAGACTGATTATTCTTTATATTACTCAATTATTGGGTCTCCTCAGGTCAAGGATCTGGAAGTGGAAATTGAAACCACCAAACAGAAAAATAGAGAAAACATGCAGCAAGCTATTTTGATTGAGAGGGAAAGGCTTACCCAAATGCAGTGGGATATGGAGGAATTGAGGCGGCAATCATTGGAAATGGAATTGAAATTGAAGTCAAAAGAGGTTACGTATGAACCATCATTCTGGTTTCAAAGTTTCATTTTTGTTTTCTTTTGGGAAGTTCCTGCATCAAGGGAAAGATGGTCCTTTCAATGACTTAAATTTTGAATTATGATTTACCTAACCATTACAGGGTGAGCATTCAAGTACAGAATTTCAAATGGCATCTACTGACCATGAAAAAGAAAAAGACATAGCACTCGAGGAGTTGGATGCTACTAGAAAACAACTTGAGGATTTGTCCAAGCGATATGAAGAGCTTGAAGCAAAATCAAAAGCAGATATTAAATTTCTTGCAAAAGAATTTAAATCCCTTAAAAGTTCCCAGACAGCATTAAAGCAAGAGCTTAGTCAATCACTGAAGGAAAAATCTGAAGTTGAGGTAGTATATCATTGCTGCATGTCAAGATTTTATATAAATTTTCTTCTTATGGGGAGCTACATCATATCAACTCACTCAACTAGGCTTAAGTCCCAAGTCAAATTTTGATCACATTGCTTACTTCTGTCGGTTATTAAGTTCCAAGTCAAATTTCAAACACTTTATTAAAATATTAACTGATAGATTTATGAAGCAGATCTTGTTTTTGATTATTGCATTCCTATGTTTTATTGCCATCACTTTGTTCCAGAAATCTTGCCATATATTTTTTTTCGGTTATTGATCTTTCTGTTATGTCTATTCTTCTAGTTGTGTTCCTGTAGTTATAACATCTTAAAAACATCTTTTGACTTGGATTGATGATTTGCATTTGGACCCAAGTACTAGAAGTGATACGCATTAACTGACTTTATGCTATGGGTTGTTTTTTCAGAAACTTCTATACGAAGAAAGAGAAATGAAGGAGCGTGAGAAAATTACTCGGAAGAAATTGCTAAATGATTGCAAGATTCTCTGTGACCGGCTGCAAGAATGCAACGTTAATTTGTCTAGTGAAGATGATAAGTTTATATTGGAATCTTCACTGGCTGATGCTTTAGATTTGCTAACCACATCTGATGATCAAATTGGTCATCTACTAGCGGAGGTACTTTCTATTTCCTATCTTTTTCCCATTACTATACAAATCTTGCCAAGTACCTTTTTTTTTTTTTGAGTTGAGAGGGGGGGGGTGTTGTACAGAATCTAATCTGCCTTAGAACCTCAGCTTTAGGTTCTTGTTATTATTTAGAATAGATACCTAGATTTGGTTGCCTCTATGAAGACTATCAAGGTTGTATTTACTATTTGGAAGTGCATTTTGAATATGGATTTAAAAGTAGGTTTCATTGATTCCTTTTCTCTGACTTGCCTACAATGTTTTGCCCCCAAATTATTGGTTAGGCGCAACTATTATTTGAAGATGATAAAATCACTGCCCCTGATGACAACACGAGAGCAACAAATGATGAATTGAGGAAGATGTTGGCAAATATCTTCACAGATAATGCCAAGTTGAGGAAACAGGTGAACTCTATTATGCGTCTTGCTCTTAAAATGGGCAGCTTCTCTAGGAGTAGTAATGACGAGGCTCCTTCAAGTAATAATAATGATGTAGAAAGATAAAAAGGCATAGTCAAATACTGTAATATTTTTTTCCTTTTTAGGCTTCTTTTATCACTACAGGTAATGAATAATCTGTTTTGAACAGCTCCATCTCACCAAACCAGCAATTGACTCATGTAATTTTATGCCTTCACATATCGAGTCGTCTGAAAGAAATTGCCTTTTCAAGTGTTGTATCTTTTATTTTTTTACTGGAATAATGAGAGAACATTATTGAAGGAGCCAAATAAAAGCTGATTACATGTTTGTTATAGTACTTTTTCAAACTCTCCAGAGTGTGAGGATCTCTGTATGCATGAATGTACCACCAGTATGTGTACAAATAAGCTGGGATTGATGCAAAAATTTCTGTCCAAGCTGTAACGTCTCATCCCTCGTGATTGAAGTGAATTTTGCTCCATTTTCAACCCAGATTCGCACGGAGGTTGGAGTTTGGACACTGATCGGACTGGCTAGAAAAGTGAAGGGAGTCTGTGCCATGGCTGTGGATTGGGAATAGTCGAATGGGTCGAACCTAGTAGTTATAAACTCTCCAACTCATAAACGCAAGGTACAATAATGGGAACCAAGGTTCTCACATGTTCAGCTAATCCTATCAAATTCTAAGATGCTTCGAGACGAAAACATCACATGGATATTTGAACTTATTAAATGATTTAGTAGTACATCTTTTATCAAGGGGGCAAAAGGCCTAAAAATGGGGGAAAATAAAGGCAAAGAATCTCAACTTACGATTTAAAGTGAACCCTACCCTCCTATTTCGGATTCCGCATTTGTTTTATAACAGGGAACCTCAAAGCATTATGAGAATCATATTTCTTACTTTCCCTAAACATAAGCACTTCTGTCGCGTCTGGTGTTGTAGATACTAGTGATGCAGTTGTCAAATTTCTAGCAAGGGAAAAAAAAGGGCGTAAGGCCTCCACAAGTGAAAGCCGTAGAAAGCATTAAGCTGATTGGCCCTAAGGCTAAGAACCTCGGGAGCGAGTAGTGGAAACGATAGAAAATCATATGATGGAAAATTTAGACGTGAACCCTACCCTGCTATTTCGCATTTTCATCGTTCGTTTTATAACAGGAGACCTCAAAGCAATATGAAAATCATATGATAGAAAAGCGTGGCCTAATTTCCCTTTTCTTTTTCCTTTTTTGGTGCAAGGAATCATTAGAAGTGGAAATAGTTCAATTATAAAAAAAGGTAAAAATAGCTTTTAGAAACGAAACCTTTTCTGTTGCATCACATGGGAACACCAAGCTCAAGAACTTGAGATGTCCAAATCTAGACCACATCAAACTTTCACATATGCACCAAACTCAAGAACTTGAGATGTCCAAATCTAGACCACAACAAAGTTCCACATATGAATGGCCATCATCTAGCCACGCGCATCAAATTTCCCACATGAAAAGCGAAGAGACATAAAGGAGGATGCAAGAAAAAGAAAGGAAAATGAATCATTTAAGCATAATTAACAATATCTAAAACAGGATCCTCTTCATTCATGCCTTCTTTTTCTTTTCAAAACTGTCATAACAGCCTAAAAATGATTCAAGATCCCACAAAGAAAAGAATGATGCAGGATTGAGCATTTTGAGGGGCACGCCCAGCAGAGCATGAAACTTGGCAGAGACAAATCAACCCATTATCAACTATGGCTCAACCCATTATCAACTATGGCTCAACCCATTATCAACTATGGCTCAAGCGTCATCGTTTTCAGCAAAGTCAACCCGAGCATATTCATAATCACAGACCTGTAAATGATTGAATTTAGATTTATCAAGTTCAAATGCAGAAACTTTTGTCAATTGTTAACGAGAATAAAGCTAACAATGGCCTAAGATGGAAGCCAGGGACCTAAATATTGCTGTTGTTCCTTGAAGAAGGTTTTGATTATATCTTCAAGAAATAACATCATACTTAGGCGGCCAAAATCTCTCATAAGATGGAGAAAAAATTCCGTCACCAAGCTGGCAGCCACCAAAATTAAATCTAGAGTGTAATCATTGATCAAGCTCTTCCTGTCAATATGTTCATAAAACAAAAAAGAATGCGGTCTCGCTTCTAAATTTTGTTTATGATAAATTCATAACAAGGGAAGAGGTATCGTACCTATCCTTGAAAACAATTATCAACTTGGCGTGGCTCCACAAGGATATAAAGCGGCTTGCCATTGAGCCTACTCTGCCCCTGAAAGGCATTGCATTTGGTATGAAACACATTATGCAGATTAATCTAACTAAATTTGCCGGTAAAGAATCGGACGAACTGTTTTTAATTTAACATGGAGGTATTTTAAGGGGAAAAGGAAACACAAAGTAAAAGGAGAAGACAATAGAAGTACTTCAGCAGTTCAGCCATTACCTTAACATCCCGCAATCCGACTACGCATGCACACTCGACCACTTCAGCCCCCACTCGTTCTACGAAAACATTAACATCGGCATGAGATACATTATGCAGAGTAAACTAGGTCTAAGTAAACAAAATTATAGAGGTGAAAATGGTTCAAATAGCGTCAAGGACGAGGAGACTGTACCCAAGAGTCTTATTGCTGCTGACAAGGTTCCTCCCGTAGCTACCAAATCATCTATAACAATTGCGCGCTCGCCAGGCTGAACAGCACCAACATGTATTTCTAGACAATCAGTTCCATATTCCAGTTCATATGCTTCAGAAATCACTTCACCTGCATTTTCAGCATTTCGAAACCCTCAATTATAACAAGATTCCTTATGTAAACTTCCGAAAGTGCAGAATTCAATACATAAATTTACAGACCAATGGATATTAGAGAAGTTTACAAACCAATGGAAATTAGAGAAGGCCTGTTCCAAAAGGAAAATCCAATTTCCACTATTAAACCTCAGTGGCAGCTACAAATTGGAAATCCATGGATATTAAAATACATTATTAGACATGAAATACAGATTAACAAAGTGATTAAAGTTGCACGAAGCTTAAATGCTCTTCCTCTGGCATCTGTGTCCATCTTTCTTCCACAAATTTGATTGATGAGGTATTAATAGCATTGAAGCTGATGGACCCAAAAAATAGCTACCCTCTTCCTTGATATAAACATATGAAAAAAGTTACAGCGAAGCACCATTACAATTCCGGATTAAGCATAGAAGTACCTGGCAACTTTCTGGGTTTCCTTAAAGGAACAAACTTCGCACCAACAGCTAAGGCAATTGCTGGCCCAAACATAAACCCTCTAGCTTCAACTCCTGCATGAAAAACAATAGAGCCATAGAAACATCATTATCAAACAGCTTTTTTTCCCTGCAGGGCTAGCCAACAAACATTCTCAGCTAACCATGAAATTCCCAGTAATACTAAAATTCTAACATGATAAAGACCCTTCGAAAAATCCACCAAAAAACTTTCCTAATAAATCTAGAAACAGCCTTTTATTTGTGCAATTTTACAGACCAAAGTCAGCACCCCATTCAAGGAAAATTTAAATAAAGCCAAAATCTAAACATGAAAAAGAATTAACCATTTTCAGAAAATAAGCTATCTCACAGAAAAAGAAAGAAGAAGAAAACAGAGTTTGCTAACAAGTTACCAGCTACAACAGAAATGTCCATGTCTCTATAGCGATCAACAAAGATATCCACTGTGTCTTTAAAAGCTTTATGATCTAGCAATAAAGTAGTTATATCTTGAAACATTATCCCTGTCGAACAACAGCAAAAAAAGTTCAACAACCAAACACTTAAAAAAACACACACAAAAAAAAAAAGGAACACAGAGAAAGAATTGAGACCTTGTTTAGGAAAGTGAGGCACCACTCTAATAGCTTCAGAGATGCCTTGTAGTCTTGGGTCACCTTTGAGGCCATTCTCTGCTGCAAACATTGTTTATTTGCTCTCTCCCTTTGTATCTCTTATCTTCCAAGTCAAAATGGGGTCTTAAAGCTTTGTGAAAGGGTGTTAATATAAGAAGCAAAACTCAAGAGTTATGGCTTCTCTACTCTGTTGTTGTCTCTGTGTCTGTGAAATGGGATTTCCGTAACCAAATTGGAATTCTTTACAAATTCTTTTTTCCCTCCTAAACTGAGCTAAAGATCAAATCTTTCTCTTCTCAATGCAATCTAAAAGAGCAAAAGATGATCAGTGTGTATTAAATACTAACTATTTTGTCTATTTATGTTGGCCAATCCAATGCACTGTTTTTGTGTTAGGCAAGCACGCGTTATTAAAGCACGTGCAAAACACTCTTTGTCACCCTCAATTTGAGCCCACATTGCCAGTTGCTTGACGTTTCAATCTTCTTGTCCTTTATTTTCTTCTTTGTTTTTCATTGCTTCCATTTTTCTTCCTTTGGTTTTTCTTCGAGAAGATGTCTTACGGTTTTGTTTAGAAAATATTTCAGGATTTCACAAAGAAAAAAAAGAGCTAATGTATCCCAGTTAAATTTTTTAAATAATATTTTCTCCATCTCAAAAAGATTATTTACTTTTTTATTTATATATGTCTCAAAATGTTTGTCTCACATATACTTCCTTAAATTACTCATACTTAAAGTTTATTTCATAAAAATTTATTCAAATATAATTTTTTTAAAAAATATTTTAGACAATTATGAATAAAAAAAATGATATGATATAACAATTAATAATTTTCTTAATTCACATAAAAAGGTCGAATATGACAATATTTAGAATAGTAGAGAGTATTAATATTTAATACTAAGAGTTGTACTTGCTTAAAATGCTCTTAATTAAAATCTATTTTGTAAAAAACTTATTTAAAAAAAATGGGAAAAAAATGATGATGTAGCATGATAATTAATAATTTTTTAATTTGTACATAAAGTCAAACAAGATAATGTTTTTAGAACATAAGGAGTATTGATTATTGATATAATTAAATTTTCTGATCAAAACTTTAAAAGATGTACTTTCTTAAAATATATCAATCAAAGCCCATTTTATAAAATATTTTCTAAATATAATTTTCAATAAGAAATTCTTTTTTAGCAAAGTATGAATAGAAAATACTAACATGACATAAATCTTCTTAGTATGTATGAAAAATCAAATAGAACAATCATTTAGAACAAAAAGAGTATCAATTGTTGATACAATGAACTTATCTGATTAAAATTTTAAGATATGTAATTGCTTAAAAAATAATTAATTAAAATTCGTTTTGTAAAAGATTGTTAAAAAATATATATATTTCAAAAAACATGAATAAAATATTATATGGCACATCAATAATAACTTTTTTAATCTGCACCAAAAGTTAAAAAAAAAAAAAGAAAAAAGACAATCTCTTTAGAATTGAATGGATACTAATTATATCTCCAATTAAAATTTATTTTGTAATAGATTGTTCACACACACGCGCGCACACACAAATATATCTATATACAAAAAGTATTTTAGAAAAATATGAATACAAAATACTGATATGGCATAATAATTAATCATTATATGACATAAATCTTCTCTTAGTAGGTATGAAAAGTTAAAAATGGACAATTTTTTTTAGTGGAAAGAGAGTATTAATTATTGATACAATGAACTTATTTGGTTGAAAATTAAAGTATGTAATTGCTTAAAATATCCTTAATTAAAATTCATTTTGTAAAATATTATCAAAAAAAATATGAATAAAAAATGTTAAATGGCATACCAATAATATCTTTGGTAATCCACACAAAAGGTCAAACAAGACAATCTATTTAGAATTGAAGAAATATTAATTATTGATCCAATGACCTTATCTAGTCAAAATTTCAAGGGATGCACTTGATTAAAATATCTCTAATTAAATTTTATTTTATAATAGATTATTCATATATATATATATATATATATATACGAAAAATATGAATAAAAAATATTGATATGACATAATAATTAATAATTTTTTTAATATATATGAAAAATCAAATAACACACTCTCTTAGGAAGAAAAGAGATTATTTATTATATATGAACCATCTTATGAGTCTCATGTAATATAATAATATTTTTTTAGATTAAGCACTAAGAGTGTTTTTCGATTATTTTTTGTATATTTCGAGAATAATTCTTTCATGTATGTAATTAGAGAGTACTCTTTAATGCATAATTTTAGATATTTTGATAATAAATTTTCGTTAATGCTGGCCAAAATGATTGGCAATTTTTTTTTAGAATAAAAGTGGTTTAGTTTGTTTCATTGCAAATTTGTGTCATGTGTTGTTGATTAACATATGACACAACAGTGTGATAATAATTTTAATTAAGTTTTTTTCTCACGAGACACACGCAAAATGTATTAAAATTTGCATGATCATTGTTCACTTCTTACGTTTTTTTGAAACACACAAATTGGTGTGTTTATTCAGTAACCCATTTTTCTCAAGGCAAAAGAGGGAGCTGGATTCATATCCAAAATTATATAATTTTGGAATCATTTTCTTCCATAAATAATCCCTCGACTTATCTCAAGCATCGAGCAAGGAAAATAATAATAATATTATTTGCAGCATTTTCTTCTTCCTCTTTGAAAGTTTGTGAAATTAATCGTTTGAACGAGGAAAAAAATAAATTAATTAGTACTTCAGTCTCAAATTCATTAAGATAAGAAACACATCAAGAAGAATATATAACAAAAATATCCCTCGTGCGTGTAAACGAAATCTTTAAAAAAATCTGAAGAGATTTATTGTTTGCAATTCTCGCTTACGTGATGGTTCGTTTCCTTGTGTGAAGTCAAAAAAACACATTGCCTACATCTTCAAGACTTCAACCATACACAGTTATTCACCAGACTTTCTTCTTTGTAACTGCAATCCTACAACAAAGAAACAAGAAAGGTGCACAAAAAATCAAATTAAATCTTCATTTTTTGTTTTATCTTCTGACCCAAATCCTTGATTTAACGTCTTGCACTTCTTTGATGCATTTAGTCAGCCATAGATGGATCATTCAAGAAGTTAGCTCAATAGCTTTTTGAAAAAAAAAAAAACTAGAAACCGATGATCTTTCAACTATTTTCAATGCCTACCAATTGGTTTTAAAATTGAAGATTTCAAATCTTTCATGATTTTAAAATTTAAAAAACAAACATAAGTCTTATGACAAGCACAGAAAAATACGTTAGAAATACAAAACTTATGTTACTAAATCACTTCTTGTGTTTAAGTTAGCTTAATAGTTGAAGGATCGTTAACTCATTCTATTTATGACCATTGGATCGGAGTTCAATTTTTCAATTTCCTTTTGTGAAGTCAAAAAAAAAAAAAAAACACATTGCCTGCGTCGTCAAGACTTCAACTATATACAGTTGTTCACCAGACTTTCTTCCTTGTAACTTCAATGCTACGACTAGGACACGAAAAAGGTGCACAAAAAATCAAAATAAATCTTCTTTTTTTGTTTTATTTTTTGACCCAAATCCTCGATTTAATGTCTTGCAATTCTTTGATGCATTTAGTCAGCTATAGATAGATCAAAACAAATCAAAATAAATCTTCTTTCTTTGTTTTGCTTTTTTGACCCAAATCCTTGATTTAATGTCTTGCAATTCTCTGATGCATTTAGTCAGCTATAGATAGATCATTCAAGAAGTTAGCTTAATAGTTTTTTTTTTCAACAAGAAACTAATTATTCTTCAACCATCTTCGATGCATATCGATAGAGGAAATTTTATAATACATCGAAATAACTAATGATATATACGGTAATTACTCTATGGATTCACTTTGAGGAGAGAGATAGACACATAAAAAAGATAGAAATTACATCTATACCCATTAAAAGTGATAAGAAGATTTTCATGTTCGTTCAAATTTTTTTATTTTCTCTTTCATGTTTCTCTTTCTCCTTTTTTGTATATCTATTACTCTCTTTAAAGTGGATCCATGAAATAACTACCGTATATGTCACCGATTACTCCTAATGTATTATAAAATTTCTCGATGGATTAGTCTTAGAATCGAAAATTCCAAACTCCCCCTTTCATAGTTTTAGAACGGAGAAAACAAAAATAAATCTTGCAATGGGCAAAAAAAAAATTGTGAGAAGTAAGATTTTACTTTAAATTTTAAACTTCATGTTAGAAATCCAATTTTTTTTACCACTGAGCCACTTATTGTGGTTAGGTTAGCTTAATAGTCTTGAGGATCGTTAAATTATTCTATTTATGACAATTGGATAGGAGTTCAATCTGTCGTTATAATTAATAAAAAAATTCTTTTTATGAAATTAATTAGTTCACATACTAATATCATGTTTATATTTTTTATGATACAATAATCATTATTTTTTAATTTTTTATTTTAGTAATATAAAAACTTGTCCGAAAACATAATTTGTTAAAATTACTATTACTAAATTACAAAAATTTTTATAATACTCATTAAGAAATAACTAATTGTGAAAATCTTTTTACTATTTTTTATAATCGAAATATGATTTTTTATATATATTTATTTTTTTACTGATTTTTTTATAGAATAATTATTGTGCGTGTGTGTTAGATACTTCTCTATAATTATAAAATTTTTCAAAGATCACGGTGAAGGAGAGGCAACACGCGCAATGAACTGTGAGTAGAATTTAGGAGAGGCAAATAACACAAATGTCCTTCTACTTAGTCTATAAAATCTTTCTTTTCTCGATGATTACACAGTTTCAGTATATCTAGTATCTATCTAGTACCTATCTAGCTTCTAAGAAAACCTACGATTTATCCAAATCTATAAAGGAAGATTCTATGTTGCAGGGACCATTGTATTAAAAGCAACAATCCTCGCTGTTAACCAGTTTATCACTTTCCCAAAAATCTCCCTAATCCATCATCACCGTCTCATTACCATGCATCATGCATAGTACTCAGCAGTAAAACTTTTCTAGACT